ACAGTGATGGAGATCACTGTGGCCCTGTCCCCTTGTCACTCCCTGGGGTCCTGGGCAGTGGTGTGGGAGGGGGTGCCAGAGGGTGTGGGTAGCAGGGAAGGATGTTCTGGTGGCTCTTATCTAAACATGGCTTTCCGGTGGGAAAGAGGCTAGCATGCCTTGCTTGACTTCCTGCCTTGACCTCTAGTATAACAGTTTCCTTTCTTCTCGAATACCAGCCTAGGACCTGAGGAAATTTTCCAAGAGAGGCTTTGGACATTTTCTGCAGTGTTGCCTGACTCTCTCTCTCTCTCTCCTCTCTGCCTGAAGACTGGTTCCCACCCAGCTTTTCTACCTTTCCCTATGCAGGCCCACTGGTGTTTCTCCCTCCTTGCCCTCCTGGCTGAGCTGAGGAGTGGAACTGGGAGGAAGGCAAACAGAGGGGAGGTGGGGAGAGGGACACCTTGAGAGACACATAGGAAAGTCAAAGAGGCAAGGTCACAGAAGGAGTGGCCCTCTGTCTGCAAGAGTCCAGAAAGAAGCTGAAGCAATGGAGAGAATAGAGGTGGAATAGCTGGCCGGGGATGCCGACAGAAGACCACCTACATCCTGATGCAGACTTCTGGAGGCTAGACGAAAGACTCAACTTGGACCAAATCATGTATGTTGCTAGCAACCAACCTACTTCTGTCAGCCTCCAGATCCTTCACCTTTAAAAGCCAGAGTTCTTCTGTCCCAGAGAGCCTTGTTAAAGGCCTGTGTATCCTCCTGATTCTTTTTTTTTTTTTTTTTTGAGAGAGATGGAGAGAGAGAGAATCCCATGAGGGGCAGAGAGAGGGAGAGAGAATCCCACACAGGCTTTGCACAGTCAGCGCAGAGCCTGAAGTGGGGCCTGTGCTCACCCGAAGCAAGGCTTGAACTCAGATCCGTCAGATAATGACCTGATTCTTCTGCAAATTTAGCAAGTGAAGTTCTGTTAGGAGGTATGCCCCAGGGCTCCATTTCCAGGCATCTCACAGATGGTAACTTGCAGCTGTGTAGAGTCTAACAAAACATAGGGTTCTTTGGCCTCAGGGAGAAGGAACAAAAGGTAACGGAGATAATGGGATAAGACATCTTCCCATAGCAGCATTCTTGCAATGTTGACACCCAAAGAATGTCAACATTGCACAAAGCCCAAAGGGGATTTATTTCAAAACCCCACATATAGCTATTGAGTCACCATTTTATTCTGGAGATTGATCCTTATATTCCATGTGGTCCAAAAGAACTTATCCTCTCTTCCTGGGTATGAGGTTGAATAGCTGTCAGAAGTAAGGCTCACTATCTGTAGAGGCACCTGCTGGCCAGCCAGCCTGAAACCCAGGGATGGCTCCCTGGATGTCCGCTTGGGTCTGCCCCAGCCCCATAGTCTACATGTGCCTCTCACCACTCCCACTCCCCATGTTCCCACTGTCTTTTGAGTTCCCTCTTTCCATTTCGTTGGTCTTCAGATCCTCACTCACTACCTCCCATTTTCCCTTAGTCATCAAGTCATTGCCTTCCCTGGAGCTTTTCTCCTGCTGATGTCCCCTGCTCCACTGCCTCTTCTGACTGGAGGCTTCCTCTACCTGTTCCAAAACCTTGCATTGGCCTACCTGCCTCCAGTTGTCCTATTCTCTCCTCTATCCCTCATCCTGTTACAGTTTAACCTTTCTAAAAATGTTTGACGTGCATTATGTCTTCCCAGAAGTCTTCAGTGATGGCCAAAGAGAGATAAAATTCTGTGGCTTTCCTTGGGCACCAATCCTCTTTCCTGACTGGGTTTTCCCCTCTCACCTAGCCAGAACTTTCTCAGACTAACCAGATCATTCCCTGACCCCAATCCTGTCATGCTTGTGTTTTTCCATTCCTCATCTTGCCTCCTGGGCTAGGATGACCCCTTTGTTCCCCTCCACTTTCTGACATTCTCCTCATCCTCAAAAACCCAGCTCTGACCTGATTTTCTCCAGGGACCTCTCCCTCACCTTCTCATATTCTGAGTGCCTCTGGCACCATTACTTGTATCATTCCTCTAGCGTCTGCCATATTGCCTTGAGAGTAGTTACTACCACTATTGTGTACATATGTTTCATCTTACTAATACACTTCCCCAGAAGGGTCTGGCCCTACTTGACCCTTGGTCTCTTCTGGAATATGCTTGGCTCATGGTACTGTTCAATAAGTATCTGCTTACTACATTATTTTTAATGTTCCTTCTGGGCAAAATTAGCAATAATGTACCCACCCCCCAACATACACACACAGCCCCTAGTAAAATCTATCAGCACTGGCAGGCCAAAGAATTGTAAACTATATCTGCACCTTTGGCAGAGGAGGTGTGGTTTCAGTCGTCTTAGGGAGATACCACATCCAGTGAAGGGTAAGTCTTGACTTGTGTGTGTTTTGAACTAAGTGAGGATTTTAAGAGTGGACCTGCCCCCCCCCCAACCCTGAATAATCATGATTGCCCTGGAATCACAGCTGTGATGGCATTAAAGTGATGTTCAAACAGAACTTGGTAAGGAAATCACAGGCCGACAAGGAGGTCTGGGCAGGGAGGACAAAGGAGAGTGTTCTAGGCTGAGAGCAGCATGTGCAGGGGGCATTACCCAGATGAAGAGACATGTGTTTAAGGAATAGACACAAGTGCAATGTGATGGGGCTTGCACCACCTCCCAGAGCCAGCCACAGAGAGGAAGGAGGCCTCTTACAAGTGTGCCTGCTGGCAGGCATGGTTTAGAGGGAGTCTGGAAAAGGAAAAGTCTGGAAAAGCAAGTCAACCTGGAGCTATGTCCTTTATAAGGTCTAGAAAAAAATGGTGAGTAGATATTCTTTGGCAAAATGTCTGCAGACGATTCTCTGATGCTTGTGAGAATTTACCATCGACCAAGGAGACAAGTCTTTCTACACGGCAGCTTTGAAAGGTATGAGGTAAACCATTTCAGTTGGAGGAGAGAAGGTGTCCCCTGCCCCATCACATTTTACATGGGTTTCCTGTAACTATTGGCTCACACGGAAAAGAGGTCTGTGTGTTTGGGGAAACTTCTCATGAAACATGAGCAGTCAGCACCGTCCAGTTGTGCATAGAAGGCAGAGGAACCTGAGAATGAGTAAGAAGACACCCAGGGTTGCGGGAGCAGAGCCTAAATTGGGCAAGCAGATCAAGGATGGGAACAGGGGTGAGGCAGGAAATGGGTGCCCAGCACAGAAGGTCCTGGCTGTCAGTGTTTGTCCATAGTGGACAATAAGTGAGTAATAGAGGAATTAAGGAAATAGCTGGGGTGAGTTTGGAGGAACTTAACAACTAGAAAAATAAAGCGAGGCGCCTGCGTGGTTCAGCTAGTTAAGCATCTGACTCTTGATTTTGGCTCAGGTCATGATCTTACGGTTCATGGGATCAAGCCCCCAGTCAGGCTCTGTGCTGACAGCATGGAGTCTTCTTGGGATTCTCTCTCTCCCTCTGTCTCTGCCCCTCCCCTGCTTTCTCTTTTGTGTTCTCTTTCTCTCTCTCTCAAAAAATAAAGCAACCTACTTCCTCAAGCAACTGGAAAGCAGGTGAGAGCACTCTCCTGAGAGCTGGAGGAGGTAATGTGGTGGCCCAGAGAGAAAGTGACACAGGTTTCTGTGAGGGTCAGCTGAGGACACCTGAGCCAGAGGGACAGGATTCTGTCACTGAACCAAGAGGATGAAGACCAAGGCATGTCCCCTGTACTTCTAATGATTGGCAAAAGTCCTTGGTATTCCTTGGCTTATAGACACATCAATCCATTCTCTCCCTCCATTGCCCTGTGTATCTCTGGATCTCAATTTCTTCTCATAAGGATGCCAGTCATTGGGTTGGGGCCCATATTATTCTAGTATGAACTCACCTTAACTTGATTACATCTGCAGAGAGCCTATGTCCAAATAATGTCACATTCCTGGGTACCAGGAGTTAGGGCTTTGAGCCTAACACAATCCAAGGACACAGTTAACCTCATCATACCCAGCAAGGAAGCTGGGGGCAGCATAGGCGGTAGAGAATGTCCTTAGCATTTTTCTGTGAGTTCCAGGGGCTAAGAGAGTTTGGTGTAGAGAGACATGAGATCAGTCATGAAGATCATAACAAAGAGTGTTGGGGGACCACCACTGTAGGTGGTATAGTCCTTTGGGTCCATATCTTTGATATGTTGTCATGGGCCAGTGGGGAAACTGAGATTACCTGGTTACACGCCATTGCTGTGATCTATAGGAGGTCAAGTGGCAGAATCTGGAATCATGATCATTGCTTAGCACTTAGGGAAGACATTTTATTCCCTTGAGGTTCTGATGGGATAGAGACATTTGAGTGTGAGACAAAGAACCCTTTCCTTCTGACATCCTTCCAACTGCCTCCAGAAGAACAGAGGGAAGGAATAACCAAAGAAGTGTGGTGATTTTCCTATGTAGGAGCAGTCAAATCCCTCTGTTGCAGGTTGGGTTTTCTTTTTTGTGCCTCCTGAATGTCTTATCCTGGATGCCAAGGGCCTGCTCCACTTGGGGCCAAGTTATTAGGGGGCTGCATAGCTTTCATGGAGTAATGAGATTTTGGAAAAGCGTGGGCATCTGTGAGATCAGCCCGTGAATCCTGGGTCCCTCGGCGTGCAGGGGAATGCCAGGGTGATCAGGATGGGGTGTGACAATGTTCCCAAGCAGGAAAGCATGTCTCTGCCAGTGACAGGCCTGTTGCAGGGGAGTCCCCACCTGTGTGGGTGCACGTGGTGGGAGTGGCGAGCTGAGCACACCTGTCTGATGCATGTGTGTGCATGTGTGCATGTGTGCGTATGTGCCTGTGCCGTAGCCTCGGGAGGCACTCTGACACCAGAGCAGCGGGAGGGAGAGTGCTGACAGGGAGCGGGGCCCAGCACAGTGGCTGGGCCTGGGCCAATGGGCGGCCACACGCATGTCAGTGCCTGGGCCTCTCAGAGTGGGCGACGGCTCACCCTCCTCTCAAACACCTGCTGTGTTTGACTCTCTTGCAGGTTCTTGACACTGTGTTCTCAGGCCTCTCCTGTGGCTTTGATGGGCTGAGCGTGCTGCGATTTATCCAGAACTCTGAGGGAGGCTATGGACTGGTCTTCCCAGAGCTGATGCTGCTGAGGCCCAGCATCGGTGGGTGGGCACAGGCTGCCCACTGTGGGGGTTTCCTGGGCAAGGACTCTTTCCTTATTCTGCCAGGAGACCCACGAAACCTTCTCAGGCTCTTCACCTGGTGGCCCCCGGCCACACCCAGACACTCACTCACCACTCCCTCCTCACCGCTCAGGGCAAGTCTCCAGTCTCTTGTCTGCTAAAAGACCCGGAAAGGCCAAGAGTCAAAGATGGGTCTAGGCTTTCATTTCTCCAAGAGGAGATGCTTGGGAGCTCTGATTTGGAGATAGTCCAGCACTAATTCAGAGGAAAGTGAAAGAATTTATAAGGGCTTGCTAAGTAACTTACCAGCCTCCAGAACTTTTTTGGAAGATAAATGAGTACAATAGAAGGAAAAAAGCCTACCTATTTGTACAAGGAATTTGCAATCCCTTTTGATAATTGCACATCCACTTACTTATGGTTTTTGGGTGCCCAGGTTACCAGTGGTGCAATTCACTAAAATGTATTCCTTCCCTTTGATTTATTCATTATCAAGCATTTGCGGAGCCATCACCTCTTCCTCATAAAGTAGCAGCCGCGCTCTGTGGTCATTCTCCTCCTCTGCCCTGCTGGCAGGTGACAAGTACATGCTAGGTTCCAGGATTGCCGCAGGGCCCAAAACACTCATGGTGGTTGTAATTGCAGTCTGGGCTCAGTGCCCCATAGGAACAGAGAGTGTGTAACAGGAGGGCCACTCTTTGCCACCAGAAAGACAGGTGAGTAGAAGCTAACCAGGGGAGGGGACAGGAGTAAAGAGCCCCCAGGTAAAGTGAATGGCTCTGAGGCAACACCTCATCTCACAGGAGCCGTGAATTTTCCACTCAGTTTTCACTTTCTACAACAGGCTGAACATAGGAGAAAAGGCCCAGGTGGTGGGTAGTGCAGCGAGAGCAGAAGGTAGACAGGGGCTAGATGGGGGAGGGAGGTGCCTCTAGGCTGGGACACTTTGCTTGTTTTCACTTTGAGATGGAGGGAATCTATTGGAGGGTCACAACAGGCTCTGATATTCATTTTCAGAACGTCATGCTGACATAGTATGTGATTGTATTTCGGTAAAGTACAAACAAAACACGCAGACTAGCCCATTGGCTAGAAGCCACTAACCCATGTGGCTAGAAGTCAGGAGAGTCATTCTGCTGGAGGTGGGGAGTGGTGAGAGGGGTACTCGGGCTTTTGGGAAGCAGGACATGTTCTGTTTTTCGATCTGTACACTGGTCCTTTAAGTGTCCTCAGTTTGTGAGATTTTACCAAGTTGTACTCTATCTTTGACTTAGGCCTTTTGTGTGTGAATGTTATACTCAAAGCTCCTAAAAGATGACTCCTTGGGGGAAGGAGGGGTGCCTCGTGGCTCCGGTGGTTAAGTGTCTGACTCTTGATCTTGGCTCAGGTCATGCTCTCACAGTTCATGAGATTAAACCCTGCTTAGGATTCTCTCCCTCCCTCTCCCTCTGTCCTTCCCTGCTTGTGCTCTCTCTCTCTCTCTCAAAAATAAACAAATAAACTTAAAAAAAAAATATGACTCCTGGCTAAGGAATAGATTGGAGGGAGGAAGGCGTGAGCTTAAGAAAAGGGTAGGAACCTGATTGCAGCCAGGCGAGATCTGACAGTGGCTGGAGTGGAGGGTGGCAGTGGAGCTGGAGACCATGAGCTGGATTTGAGTCTTGGTTTGGAGGTTGAAGTCCCGGGGTGAGATCTGACATTGAGAAGAGGAGATCCAAGGTAAGATCATGGTTTGGGGCATGGATTTCAGATACTGGAGGAGAGTCAAAGCTGAAATGTGTGGAATGCATTTCATTGCAGGACCTGGGCTAGAGGAGGAGGGGTCTGCCCTCCAGCGATGGCAGGACTTCAGCATCCCACCAGGGTGGCCCTGTGGGGGCTGGTGGGCAAGGTTTCCAAGGCCAACGTGTGTAGAGAGATGGGCAAAAAGGCTGAGGACAGAGCACAGATACCACCCTTTTCAGGTGGGGAGCCAGAAAAGGATTTCTAAGAAGGGACAGACAGAGCAAGAGGGATGACAATATCACAAAGGTGAGGGAAACCAAGTGTGTCGAATGCTAACAAAACTTAGAGCCACCGTTGGAGGCCACTGGATTGGCAATTAGATAACCAGAAATCTTGTTGAAAACAACTTCAGGGATGCTTCCTTCCACCAAAGTCTCATAAGATCAGGCAGCTCGGTGGGGCAGGGTGATGGCCTGATTTGGTGTCAGCTGGCTGCCTACCATTTACCAGCTGTGTGACATGAGACAATTGTGTAAGCTTCCCTGAACCTCCATTTCCTCATCCATAAACAAAAGGAATCCTACCTGCCTCTCAGGGCAGTACGAGGACTAACTTAACGGAGCAAATATTTATTGGACATTTATTATGTGCCAGATGGTCAGCCAGATGCAGAAGATACAGGGTGACCAAGACTGATGAAAGGAAAAGAGAAAAAAGTAAGCAAACAAGATGATGTGAAGAAAGCAGACAGCCCCTCAGTGCTCCCCCATGGCCACGAGCCAGCCTCCCTTCTGGCCAGCTTCCTGGGGATCAGCTCTCAGGGTTCCAGGCTCTTCTCACTTCACATCCCCCATCCCCACTTTCTCTGTGAAAAACTAGTTTTCCCTTCCTTGCAGGCTTAATCTTCAAACCCTTCAGAGAAGCAAGGGAAAATATTAACATCCTATCTTGTTCTTGCAAAGAATAGCAGGAATATAAAATAGGCAAAGGCTCCATATTAATACAGTCTGGATGTTCTTTTGCTGCCATAAGTGGATTCAAAGAAGTTTCCCTAATAACGCCTTATTTCAATCTAACAAATTACTTTTGTGCCAACTTCCAAAAAAGACAAATGGCACTTGTACTCCATGAAGGGAAGCTTTTCTGAATTAAAAAAATAATAACTTTGGGAATTTCTGAGGAAGAATTTGGACACATATTTACGTAAATGTCAATGATATGTTTGTTTCAAAGTTTTTGTTTTTCTGGGGACACTTGAGCACCATACTTCTAGCTAATCTGATAAATTCATTTAGTCTCATGTGCTCATGTCTCATCTCTTCCAGAAATTTGATTTCTAAAGCCCAGAACCGCAGGTCCCTATTATATCAGGCAGTCTCTCACCCTCTGTCCTCCATTTTATTTTCCCTCTCAAATGCTACCAGATCAATCTAGCCATCTGCCTTCTCCCTCCCTGGGGCCAAGTGCTGGACAGGCACCAGCAGGATAAAACCTAAGACAACCACAACCAAAAGTGTTTGAGAATCACTAGTGTTAGCAGCTAGAAAGCTCATGTAGCTCCCTTTCCTGTGCCCGGTGTCCCCTCCGACAAGGACTGAATGGCAATCCCCCTATCTCTTTACAGATGGTTCTGATCTTTGTACTTGCAAGGCCCCCAGGGCCTGGGCTTATCAAGGGCCTGTTCTGGCTCATAATAACATTAAAAACAAAACACACAAAATGACAACAAAAACTACAGAATTATGCAGATTGGGACCTTCAAGGTCCATTCTAGTTTCATCTTACAGGCGAGAGTTTTCAGGTGAGATTTTTATCTAAGCTGAGTAGACTAGACTCAACAATGGCCAAAAGACCTTTTTTCTAACTCAAAGCGTCGGAGACCTGGCTCCAAACAGGACCCCCCAGGCAGTGTGAAAGCGGGAGAGCGTCCACCTGTGCATGATGTCCCTCTGTGCCTGCTGTGGTTTCCAGTGGCCTCCTGGCCTCCACTGAGCCTCCCTCCTCCCTGAAGCAGCTCTCACAGACCTCAGAAAGTGGCCTTTGTCTGTCATATTAGGAGAACCCTGCCATACAGTAAGGCCATTCTGTGGACAGTAGAGGCTGGCAAGGGGGCGCTGGAGAGAACAGACAGGGGCCTGGCTTGACCACTTCCCCTCCCAGGCGGGGTCCCAGTTACAACTCTCCAGTCTGGCTACTTCCTTCTTAAGGAACAAGGAGGCTGTGGTGGAAATCATGTTTTTCTTCTTAGATTATCCTGATTTTTATACTTCCAAAGGTCTCCCAGGGCCCTGTCATATCAAAGGCTTTTTCTAGTTTATAATAATACTAAAGATACCTTTTATTATTGCCCCTATGAATACCACCAACTTTGACCCTAGGCTGGCTATTTTGAATCTCTGAACTTTATCTTGTTCAGGCATTCTTCCTGCATGGGAAAATATTTGATTTCCTGAATCACTTCTTGAAAGAGACGTTCCCCTTTGGGGCCACTGGGCCATGGTTGGGATCCAAAGCCACACCCTGCAGAAGGTACAGGAGGGGTAAGCCAGCCGACTGATGAAGGAGGCCTTTCACCTCTGAGTCCTTGCTTTGCTTCCTTCTTTTTCTTGTGTCAGGACAGGGGAAAGGGATCCCTGTTTCCCATCCAACTCTGTCTGAGGTGCCTTTCAAGTGGGCCTCAGAGGAGCTAACACAGAGAGCCTCCTCCCCTTTCAGATGCCTTGGTCTGGGAAACGGCGAGCATCACCCTTTCTGAGTTCTCTTCTTCGTCCCCGTTGCACTAGGGCATCTTGAGCCCAGGGCCTCACCTCCAAGGTCTTACCCATGTGGTGAACTGCCAGCCAGGACTGAGATTGGGCTATGAGCGTAGAGACACTGAAAGACGCAAATACACGTGGAGATAGGCAGACACCTAGAGCCAGCACCACCTTCCCACCATGTGCCTTCTTTTGGAGACACCACTGGAAATAGCACTTTGTAGAAGATTCTGATCAAAGAAATGAGGTATCAGAATGCATGAATGTAGTAGGGAGGTCGTGGGGGAGAGTTGTAGAGAAAGACCTGGATACACGTTTTGGTTTGTCTACTTAGTCCACAGACAGGTGTATACTGCTTTTTTTTCTCCGTTGTAAAAGTGGGCACAGAATTATCAATTTGTTTGCTAGACCTAGCATCAGGAAAGACGTTGCGTTTATGATTCAAGATGGCAGACCAGGCACATATTTGTCTCCCCTCATCTCCATCACCCTCAGTATAATGAGAGTGATGAATAAAAGAATGGTGAAAGCCAGTAACAGAAAAGAGAAAGGAGAGATTATGAGTAGGTGAACAGTTGCAATAATCTCAGTAAGACGGAGGCAGCTGAGAACGTCGATGGGCTGAGGAAGGCCCGCTGTCAGGTGCACGCATGGGGCCTGCAGCGTGTGGAACCCTTGCACTGGGCACAGCCCTAGAGAGCGACCAATTTAGAATGTGGAGGGCTGGCAGAGACAGAGATGGGAAGTGGGGCCGAACCCCAAGGGGTTCATATAGAGCATCCGTTTACCCTTGGGAAACACAGGCAACCTTCAGCTGAGGAACCATCAGCTGGCACACGTGCACACTGAGAAGGGAAGCTTTGCGCCTTCTGGCTCCCCGCCTGCTTGCCGCAGAGCAAAGTGATCCAGTGTTGGGTTACTTGGTAGATCCAATATAGTAGAACTATTGCAAGTTGGAAGGAACTGGGAGAGGGGTGGGAGATGTAGGAATACATGAGCTAAATCCTCTCCTCTAATGGCATGCAGTCCAAAGTGATAAATCAGGAGACTGCAGAACAAGCGTGTTATTTTGATATGTGTGGATGTAATCCACTGAACAGCTCAGACCAAAGGTAGTTGTCCCTGACCTCCTATTGCACTGGTGCTGGGCTTGA